GGTGCTGGATGAGGCCAAGAGGGAGATGACAGAGGCTCAGCATAATTATGAGAGGTGCCACTCCTTAACACTGTTCCAACCTGGGAACATCAGCTCAGGTGTGCGAGCCTCAGCAGCCCATAAGGTGAAGTATGAACCCTGGGACCAGAGTCGTGCGGGGAGATATTTTCCTTTCTGTGGACTCTTCGTGTGTGTGTGTGTGTGTGTGTGTGTGTGTGTGTGTGTGCACGAGCGTCCATGGATGGAGGGGGAAAGTGACTGGAGCTCTGCCATGATGAACACCGACAGAGGCGTGTAGTGTAGTGGTCGAGGCAGCAAGGGGTGGTCACGTCTCACTTCATCCCTTTACATTTTTATACACACCACGACCCTTCTTACTGCTGCATTATACATCACAGTATCCTGCCTCATACACTGTATCATACACCACCAAATACTGTATCATACACCACCAAATACTGTATCATACACCACCAAATACTGTATCATACACCACCAAATACTGTATCATACACCACCAAATACTGTATCATACACCACCAAATACTGTATCATACACCACCAAATACTGTATCATACACCACCAAATACTGTATCATACACCACCAAATACTGTATCATACACCACCAAATACTGTATCACATACCACCAAATACTGTATCATACACCACCAAATACTGTATCATACACCACCAAATACTGTATCATACACCACCAAATACTGTATCATACACCACCAAATACTGTATCATACACCACCAAATATTGTATCATACACCACCAAATACTGTATCATACACCACCAAATACTGTATCACATACCACCAACATACCCCCACCTCATACACCAACATACCCCCACCTCATACACAATACACCACAACGAACTTGAGTATACCCGGTCATAAGGTGTATAGAGGGTCGCCTGAGCTACACAAGGACCGGTATTACTCGGTCTACCTTCAGCTGACCGACGCGTCAAGGTGATGGATGGGGTCGGTCGTTTCATCTCGTACACATCAACACTGTGGGTTCTGTCTGGTGCTCTAGTTGTTGTCTCAGTGTAAGGTGTAGTTTTGTTTTACGTGTGTGTGTGTGTGTGTGTGGAGGAGGTGTGATGGTAGGGGAGGGGTGAAGGAGGGGGTGTGTGGGTGAGGGTTGTGTGTAGGGGGGGGTGTGAGGGTGTATGTATGTATGTATGTATGTATGTATGTATGTATATATCTCACCACCTATGTATTAGAGGCAAGTATCCTCCTCTAAATAAACCTGTAGTAACTGTAGACGCTCCAACATTCATATATTTTTTAAGACTCAAGTGAGGGGTCCACAACACGGCGTCAGAGTCAGGGTGAATACAAAACACGGAGCGACTTTTTGCCTACCAGCACTAACAGGTGTTCCGTGACGCGTGGTTTAAAAGGAGCGACTTTTACCTACCAGCGCTAACAGGTGTTCCGTGACGCGTGGTTTAAAAGGCTCTCCAGTGATGACGCGCGGAGCTACTTGTGCCTTGGATGCTGGTCTGTGATTTCTGTTGTAATGTTCCACAGAATATCAAAGGGAGACGTGGGAAGGGGGTGGATGCTCGATTGGTTAGCGCTCCTGCCTCCAACCACCTGCTTCTAGCCTCCTGCCAGCCTCCAACCATCTGCTTCCAGCCTCCAGCCTCCTACCTCCAGCCTCTTACCACCTGCCTCCAGCCTCCTACCACCTGCCTTCTACCTCCAGCCTCCAACCACCTGCTTCTAGCCTCCTGCCTCCTACCTCCAGCCTCTTACCACCTGCCTCCAGCCTCCAACCACCTGCTTCTAGCCTCCTGCCTCCTACCTCCTACCTCCGGAACGCTGCTCTGTTTACATATAAAGTGAAAACGATGCTGATGACCAGACAGCCGCGGGGGCCTCCTGTCGGGGCTGACTGTGGACTCATACCTGTGGTGATGGAGTAGGGTGGGGGCACGGAAGAAGAAGAGGAGGGAAGGGCACAGAAGAGGGGAAAGAGAAGAGAGGAAGAACACGGAAGAAGAGGAGGAAGGAAGAACATAGAACAGGAGAGGGAAGAACAAGGGAAGGGAGAGAAACCTTGTTGATAACAGAGAGAGAGAGAGAGAGAGAGAGAGGGCAATAAAGCAAGGAAGGACGGAAGAGGGAAGGTAATGAAAGGAGAGAGAGAGAGAGATGGGAACAGAGGGTTACAAATACTGGAAGGGTAAAAAAGAGGAGACGAAATGAGGAGAGAAGGAAGGGTAAGCAGAGAGGGAGGAGAACAAACAGGGGAAACAAGGAAGGGGAGAAGAGGTAAGAAAAGAAGATAATGGAGGTAGAGCGATAGGGAGGAAGGGAAGCAAGGAGAGAGAGAGAGAGTTGTGTGTAGTGTATGTGTTGTGTGTAAGAGAGAGAGAGAGAGAGAGCGCTGGTTGATAAATAAGTAGGAAGAGGAAGCAGAAGAGGAGGAGGAGGGAGGTTGTTGTCATGAGAGGAGGTGAGGCATCGAGTGTGGAGTCTGGCCGCCAGCCACGAGTAACGCCGCTGCCAACCCAAGCTGTCAATGGTGGTAAAACTGCTGCCACCACTGTTTCCACCCACTAGTCTACTGCCACCACTGTTTCCACCCACTAGTCTGCTGCCACCCTGTTTCCACCACTAGTCTGCTGCCACCATTTTCCCTAGTCTGCTTCAACCACTGTTTCACCCAAGTCTGCTTCACCACTGTTTCCACCACTAGTCTGCTGCCACCTGTTCCACCCACTAGTCTGCTGCCACCTGTTTCCACCACTATTCTGCTGCCACCACTGTTTCCCTATCTTCTGCACTCTGTTTCCACCCATAGTCTGCTACTGTTTCCACCCTCGTCTGCTTCCCTTTTCCCTACTGGTCTGTACCACTGTTTCCACCCACTAGTCTGCTTCCACCCTGTTTCACCCACTAGTCTGCTTCCACCACTGTTTCCACCTAGTGTGCTGCCACTGTTTCCACCCACTAGTCTGCTGCACCACTGTTTCCACCCATAGTCTGCCACCTGTTTCCACCCACTAGTCTGCTGCCACCACTGTTTCCACCCACTAGTCTGCTGCCACCACTGTTTCCACCCACTAGTCTGCCCCTGTTTCCACCACTGTCTGCTGCACCACTTTCACCCACTAGTCTGCTGCCACCACTGTTTCCACCCACTAGTCTGCTACCACTGTTTCCACCCACTAGTCTGCCACCGCTGTTTCCACCCACTAGTCTGCTGCCACCTGTTCCACCCCAGTCTGCTGCCCCACGTTTCCACCTGTCTGCCACCACGGTTTCCACCCACTAGTCTGCTGCCACCACTGTTTCCACCCACTAGTCTGCTGCCACCCGTTTCCACCACTAGTCTGCTGCCACCGCTGTTTCCACCCACCAGTCTGCCACCTGTTTCCACCCACTAGTCTGCTGCCACCGCTGTTTTCCACACTAGTCTGCTGCCACCACTGTTTCCACCCACTAGTCTGCTGCCACCACTGTTTCCACCCACTAGTCTGCTGCCACCACTGTTTCCACCCACCTAGTCTGCACCACTGTTTCCACCCACTAGTCTGCTGCCACCACTGTTTCCACCCACTAGTCTGCTGCCATGTTTCCACCCACTAGTCTGCTGCCACCACTGTTTCCACCACTAGTCTGCTGCCACCACTGTTTCCCACCACTGGTGTGCTGCACCACTGTTTCACCCCACTAGTCTGCTGCCACCACTGTTTCCACCCACTAGTGTGCTGCCACCACTGTTTCCACCCACTAGTCTGCTGCCACCACTGTTTCCACCCACTAGTCTGCCACCACTGTTTCCACCACTAGTCTGCTGCCACCACTGTTTCCACCCACTAGTCTGCCACCACTGTTTCCACCCACTAGTCTGCTGCCACCGCTGTTTCCACCCACTAGTTTGCTGCCACCACTGTTTCCCCACTAGTCTGCCACCACTGTTTCCACCCACTAGTCTTGCCACCCTGTTTCACCCACTAGTCTGCCACCACTGTTTCCACCCACTAGTCTCTGACCACTGTTTCCCCCACTAGTCTGCTGCCACCTGTTTCCACCCACTAGTCTGCTGCCACCACTGTTCCACCCACTAGTCTGCTGCCACCTGTTCACCACTAGTCTGCTGCCACACTGTTTCCACCCACCTAGTCTGCTGCCACCACTGTTTCCACCCACTAGTCTGCTGCCACCACTGTTTCCACCCACTAGTCTGCTGCCACCACTGTTTCCACCCACTAGTCTGCCACTGTTCCCACCCACTAGTCTGCTGCCACCACTGTTTCCACCCACTAGTCTGCTGCCACCACTGTTTCTCAGAACAAGTCGTGTGTGTGTGTGTGTGTGTGTGTGTGTGTGTGTGTGTGTGTGTGTGTGTGGTGGATGACTCTTCACCCACCCGTGGCCCTAACTCCCTGGCTGACCCATTTAAGGGCCTGACCACTGACCCATCGTGACGTCGACTTACAGGCTAGTCAAGAGAGTCACCTGGGTCACACCTGGGTCACACCTGTTCTCCTGAGCTTCTGTGGTCACACCTGGGTCACACCTGTTCTGCGACCTAACCTAACCTCACCTAATGATTTAGAATAGTTTAGGTTAGGCTAGGTTAGGCTAGGTTAGGTTAGGTTATATATAGAATATGGTTTCCTCCGTCATGTTCCTAGTATTTATTGCTCATTCAGAGAGACAGACAGGAGAAGGTAATGTTGCAGGTGGCCCGCTCATATGTTGCAGATGGCCTTGTGGGTTGCAGGTGGCCCTCTCTTATGTTTCAGGTGGCCTTGTGGGTTGCAGGTGGCCCTCTCTTATGTTGCAGATGGCCTTGTGTGTTGCAGGAGACCCCCTCTTATGTTGTAGGGAGCCCATTGTGTTGCAGGTGGTCCTAACCTATGTTGCAGGTGGCCCTCTCTTATGTTGCAGGTGGCCTTGTGTGTTGCAAGTGGCCCTCTCTTATGTTACAGGTAGCCCATTGTGTTGCAGGTGTTCCTAACCTATGTTGCAGGTGGCCACATGTGTTGCAGGTGGCCCCTTGTGTTGCAGGTGGCCACATGTGTTGCAGGTGGCCCCTTGTGTTGCAGGTAGCCTTGAGTGTTGCAGGTGGGCACATGTGTTGCAGGTGGCCCCTTGTGTTGCAGGTGGCCACATGTGTTGCAGGTGGCCCCTTGTGTTGCAGGTGGCCACATGTGTTGCAGGTGGCCCCTTGTGTTGCAGGTGGTCACATGTGTTGCAGGTGGCCCCTTGTGTTGCAGGTGGTCACATGTGTTGCAGGTGGCCCCTTGTGTTGCAGGTGGCCACATGTGTTGCAGGTGGCCCCTTGTGTTGCAGGCGGTTGTCATGACAGGGAAGGTAAGGTGGCCACATGTGTTGCAGGTGGCCCTCATAGGTTGCAGGTAGGCCACATGTGTTGCAGGTGGCCCCTTGTGTTGCAGGTGGTCACATGTGTTGCAGGTGGCCACATGTGTTGCAGGTGGCCCCTTGTGTTGCAGGTGGCCACATGTGTTGCAGGTGGCCACATGTGTTGCAGGTGGCCCCTTGTGTGTTGCTGGGGATGGTGAAGCACTTGTGGCTTATATATGCACCATCAACTTGATCCTTTAATGCTGCTGATGGTGCTGGTGTGGTGCTGGTGCTGGTGTGGTGCTGGTGTGGTGCTGCTGTTGTTGATGGTAATAGTGTTGATGGTGCTGGTGCTGTTGGTGCTGATGGTGCTGGTGTGGTGCTGCTGTTGTTGATGGTATAGTGTTGATGGTGCTGGTGCTGTTGGTGCTGATGGTGCTGGTGGTGCTGCTGTTGTTGATGGTAATAGTGTTGATGGTGCTGGTGCTCTTGGTGCTGATGGTGCGGGTGTGGTGCTGCTGTTGTTGATGGTAATAGTGTTGATGGTGCTGGTGCTCTTGGTGCTGATGGTGCGGGTGTGGTGCTGCTGTTGTTGATGGTAATAGTGTTGATGGTGCTGGTGCTGTTGGTGCTGATGGTGCTGGTGTGGTGCTGCTGTTGTTGATGGTAATAGTGTTGCTGGTGCTGCTGGTGCTGTTGGTGCTGATGCTCCTATCCTTGTAGATGGTACAATTGGAACATGTGCTCTTCTTTCTATTGCTGTTGTGGTTGATGTTCATGCTAAGGGGTGGAGGTGTGAGGGTGGTGGCTTTATTACAGTTATTCAGTGTGTGCGCGTGTATACCAGGACCTGTCATGGATATCACCACATTAGACCAGTGAGGGTGTGTGGGTGGGATGGTTGTGGGTGTGGTGGGTAGGGTGTGTGTGGGTAGGGGTGCAGAGAGCCACTTAGGTCCACTGTGGATCCAGGACAACGCCCCGGGTGGTGGGAGGGAAACAGAGAAATAAGGTCAAAGTTCCCGGAAGTTCGTGAGTGGAAAACATAATGACCGTAGTTACTATCGGCACAGTAAACTACCCCATTATGTCGTTGTTTTCTGATATAAATTTATTGAGAAATTTAAAGAGTTTATTAATGTTGGCTGTAGGAGTTTACAAGAGACATAATATTGCTCTTGAGGTTTTATATCATCAGGAGGACGTTGTGTTGTGTCAGATGGGAACCTTTAAGGGAACCCGTATATAAAACTCTCTCTTGAGTGTCTGTCTCCCCAACCAAGAGAGATTTTTGTGTATAGTTTAGAGATCACCATCGACGTCCACATATGACTGACACTTGTGTATTAACGTCACACTGGAACACAAAGGCTCAAGTTTAATGTGGTGTCATCTTCGGGCCCTTTGACTTGACCCCTTAACTGGCACTCTCAATTAACAGTCTCCTCTTATTGACGATATTAGTGTATACAAGACTACATGTGAGTGTTTGTGTTTGTATAAAAATGTTATGTCAGAATGATACTGTCTTCTCGTGTTTGTGCGTATACAAGTGTGAGTACGCATTGCTGTGTGTAGTTCCCGCCCCTCCTCCTCACACACACACACACACACACACACACACACACACACACACACACACACACTCGAGTTTCAGAACCGTGTGCGTGTGTGTGGCAGGGAGGGAGGGAGGAAGGGTCTGGTAACATAGACACTACCCCACGGAACACACAGGCTGCACCAGACTCGCCCTACTCCAGCTCACCCGTCCATATATAATGCAGAGGGACCAGGCCAGGCAGTCCAGTGGCGGCGGCTGGTGTCTGGCCTGGCTTACTGGCTCCTAGGTCACGCCAGCCAGGCTATCACGGCTTCTGCTGGGCCGGGAAGTACGGAGGTGGAGGAGGAGGGAGACGTTCTCACAGAGGCAACCAACCATATCTACTACAGCTTCCCTCTTGCTCCTACCACAGCCACTTCCTACCACAGCCACTCCCTACCACAGCCACTTCCTACCACAGCCACTCCCTACCACAGCCAATCACTAGCACAGCTACTCCCTACCACAGCCACTCCCTACCACAGCCACTTCCTGCACTCACTGCACACCACTCCTACCACAGCCTCCTACCACAGCCACTCCCAACCACCCTCCACACCCTACAACCACCCCCACCATAACTCCCCCCACCACAACTCCCCTACCACAACCACCCCTACCACACACAACCACTCCCACATTAACCACCCTACCACAACCACTCTAACACAACCACTCTGGTCAGACATCTCACGAATTGCCCATGAAATCACCCCCTACCATAGTATGAGGTAGGAGAGTGCCACACTACCCAAGGTCACCAGCAGTGTGAGCTTGTTAGTGCCAGGTCAGAAGTTATGGATAAGTGAGGTTGACCGAGAGGAGGTGGGGGTTAGGTGTGTGGTCAGGGCCAAGAAGAGTGCCAGGGAGGTCAAAGGTCAAGAAGGGTGTCAGGGAGGTCATGGGTCAGTAAGGGTGCCAGGGAGGAAGTCAGGGTCAATAAAGTTGCCAGGGAGATCAGGGTCAATAAGGGTGCCAGGGAGGTCATGGGTCAGTAAGGGTGCCAGGGAGGAGGTCAAAGGTCAATAAGAGTGCCAGGGAGGAGGTTAGGGTCAGTAAGGGTGCCAGGGAGGAGGTCAGGGTCAATAAGGGTGTCAGGGAGGAGGTCAGGGTTAATAAGGGTGCCAGGGAGGTCATGGGTCAATAAGGGCGCCAGGGAGGAGGTCAAAGGTCAATAAGAATGCCAGGGGTGGGTCAAGGGTCAGTAAGGGTGTTATGAGGTGAGGTAGTTAACGTAGGTCAGGTGTAATGGGATGAGGTAAATAGCGTAGGACAGGTGTTTATAAGGAACAGCTGTGCGTATATATAACACACCTGACTGACAACATGTGACTGTCGAGTGATGTTAATAGAAACGTTATAGTGTTAATAGAAGTTAAAACAAAATACAAAGTCAACAGATCGTACGTAAATATTTTAATTACTTAATCCTCTTTCTCTCTTCTTCCTCTTCCACCTCTTCGCCCTCCTCTTCCTTCTGTTTCACTTCTCTTCTCTTCCTTCTCCTACGAATTAACCGTAAGATCCTATGAACATATGTCTCTATAGATCTGGGTTGGTGACTGATAAGCGGCCGTAATAGGTTAAGTGAGACACCCGGCTCTCTGTTTATCTTCCCGCTGGCCAACACAACGTCCTGGATAACCGGAATAATGAGAAAATGTTGCCTAAATGCCTCACGTGACGGACTTAGTAAAAGGTGACGTAAAACACCTTTGTCCCGAGGCTCACGAGGGCTATTTTTTTTTTTTTTTTTTTTTTTTTTTTTAGTAGAACACACGGATGGTCTCCTGCCAGTAGCTGAAATACATCTAATTGGTGTTTTTCACTTTGAGAATAACCTGACGGAGGCTCCTTCAGGTAAGAGTCAAATAAACATTGGTAACTTTACTGCATTGGAGACACAGCATCACCATATACATGACTAAAAAACACTTCACTACAGGGACCAGACTTTTAATTTTTCATTTGTTCAACGACAGATGATTTTATTCAGCTCCGAGGCGGCCCCGTACGCAAGGTTAGGTTAGGTTATTAGAATACAAACTGTCTGTCTCTAGATTTGTTGATGTTAAGACAGTTTAGCTCGACTGGTAGGTGGTGCTAGTGGCCAGTCACCCAAGCAGTTATACCAGTTATGCTAACACAACGCCTCCTGATCACCAACGCGTTATTTTCATGTTTATAAACTGCCTTGATGTCGGTGTTTACGGAGTCCTTGAAGAAAGCCACACACACACACACACACACACACCATCATTTTCTACACATGTCTGTATTTTTCACATGTCTTCCGTGATTTACAAGCGGGAATGTTTTAAGAATAGTTATGTTGATATGATAGAGGATTTATCGATAATTCCGAGGTGTTACATCCTGAAGAGACACACTCACACATGACGAAGGAATTTTATCAACAACCGTGTAGTAGAAATTTCTCCCCGTAGGTCTTCAGTAATTGCTCTATTGACTCGTGTATTGTAGTTTGAGTTGGTGGCTGAATGTAATTGTGTTATTTACGAGGTACATAACTCTCTCACTGTGTCAACACTTGAGTAACAATCTGAGGGTTACATGTTCATAAGTTGTAACTCATGTGTGTGTGTATGTGTGTGTATGTGTGTGTATGTGTGTGTGTGTGTGGGGTGTGTGTGTGTGTGTGTGTGTGTGTGTGTGTGTGTGTGTGTGTGTGTGTGTGTGTGTGTGTCTTTTTTTCCTGTAACCACAACCTCGACTAGCCATTAACACCCATTAAGCGACCCTGATTTAAAATATGATAATTCAGTGATGTAATTATGTCCGTAGATACAAAGAAAATAAATACAAAAATAAAAATCACAAGTCAACAAGTTTAATATTTTTTATCGTTTATTTTAGTTGTGTTATAAATAAATATCGAGATAAAGTTTGATTTATTGATTGTTTTTGTGGGCTGTTGGGTATGGTCACTGGACGACACCCAGTCCTTGATCAACTCTGGGTGGGTAAGGTGAAAAAAGAAGCCTAATCAATCACAAATCACCAAGAATTGATCATAAGTTGCGTTAGTGAGGGAAGGGATAAGTGAGTAAGTGAGTGAGTCAGTCAGTCAGTTAGTTAGTGAATTAGTGAATTTGTCAGGGTTGGAATTCATGGAGCTGGCTGACGCAGGTAAAGCTCAGAAGGTCGCGGTAACCAGGCCAACTGATCAAACACCTCCCCCCCTACCTCTTGTTACTCCCACACCTCTGAAGGTTACCCCCCCCCCACACACACACACAAACACACACACACACACACACACACACACATCTTCTTCAAAGCAAAATGTCACAAGGTAACGCATTGTGTGACTCCCTGACATTTCGACAAGATAGTGTTACAAAGAGTGTGACCATGTAACAAAGGAGAGAGAGAGAGAGGAGAGAAAGAGAGAGAGAGAGAGAGAGAGAGAGAGAGAGAGAGAGAGAGAGAGAGAGAGAGTATACTTGTTATGCTAGTGGAGTGGTGGACAGGCGACAAGGGGAGCAATAAGCGAACTAGTGGTCTTCTTGCAGGCAGGAGGGAGTGTGGCAGGAGGGGGTAAGGGAGGGTGGCAGGAGGGAGTGGCAGGAGGGGGTGTAAGGAGGTGGCAGGAGGGGGTGTAAGGGAGGGTGGCAGGAGGAGTGTGGCAGGAGGTGTAAGGGAGGGTGGTAGGAGGGAGTGTGGCAGGACGGGGTGAAGGGAGGGGTGGCAGGAGGGAGTGTGGCAGGAGGGGGTGTAAGGAGGGTGGCAGGAGGGAGTGTGGCAAGAAGGAGTGTAAGGGTGGGTGGCAGAGGGAAGGAGGAGTGTAAGGAGAGTGGCAGGAGGGAAGGAGGGAGTGTAAGGAGAGTGGGCAGGAGGGGTGTAAGGGAGGTGGCAGGAGGGAGTGTAAAGGAGAGTGGCAGGAGGGAAGGAGGAGTGTAAGGGAGAGTGGCAGGGAGAGGGTGTAAAGGAGGTGGCAGGAGGGAGTGTAAGGGAGGGTGGCAGGAGGGAGTGTGTAAGGAGAGGCAGGAGGGAAGAAGGGAGTGTAAGGGAGAGCAGGCGAGGGAAGCGAGGGAGTGTAAGGGAGAGTGGCATGAGGGAAGGAGGAGTGTGGCGAGAGTGGCAGGAGGGAGGAGGGTAAGGCAAGTGGCAGGAGGGAGGGTGAGGGTGAGTGGCAGGAGGGAGGTAGGGTGGGTGACAGGAGGGAGGGAGAGTGGAGGTAGGGAGAGTGACAGGAGGGAGGGAGGGTGAGTTATCAGTCTATCTCACAGAGTCATGCAGGGGGTTACACACACACACACTCGGCAGGCAGCTGGGGCGTCATCATTCAGGCGGTTCATCTGGCGTTTAGTGGTGATACAGCCTAGCCTCCTCCTCCTCCTCCTCCTCCTCCTCTTCCTCTTCTTCCACATCCTCTTCCTGCTCCACATCCTCCTTCACATCCTCCTCATCATCATCATCTTCGTCCTCCTGCTACTGATTTGGAGGATACAGTCTCTCTCTCTCTCTCATAATAGCACCAGACAGCACCGACCTCCCCACAAGCACCAGCCGTCATCAGCTCGAGGGTAATGAACCGTGTTGGGTGGAGTAGGTGATACTGCAGCAGCACACCTCGAGCGTCAGCAGCAGACGGGTGGGGGCAGCAGAAGAGGTTTTATCAGATTACAAGAGCAGTGTTAGTGGGACAACATCAGTATACAACATCAGCAGAGGATGACATTGGCAGATTCAGCAGTAGTACACAACATCAGTAACAGTGTCAGCAGCGTCAGGCAGCAAACATCAGCCACAGAGACACTAAACCAGTCAAGTTAGAGGCGAAGCAGTTAATAGACTTGAGGAGGGAGGCGACCTGAGACTAGCCAGGACCCACTTGCCCGGCATACATGGAGGCATACACGAGGGGGCATACATGAGGCGGCATACATGAGGGGGCATACACGAGGCGGCATACATGAGGGGGCATACATGAGGTGGCATACATGGGAGGGGCATATATAGGAGGAAACAAAAATATACTTACACTGAGTAATACACATACACCTGTTAAACATACACCGTGTATCATACCTCACTACACTCATACGTCCACTGATTACACCTGTGTGTCTCTGGGTGTTCGAAGTGTGACACTCTGGCCTCTGTAAACAGGTTTGTCTCCGGCACACTGACACTCACACACCTGCTACACCCTCACACACCTGCTACACCCTCACACACCTGCTACCGAGAGGACACTTTCTCTCCTCCTTGCCTTCTTCTTCTTTCTCTTATACTTCTATACCCTCCCCCCACACCCCCCCACACCTCCACAACACCCCCACACCCTCCCACCACACCTCCCCACACCACACCTCCCCATCAGTGCTCTACCTGGGCGTGGTGTGGGGCAGCTCAGGTACGTTCCCTCACACCTGCACCACCAAAGGCCTCCCACCAGATACTGACGACGTCCGCACCGCCATGCCCTTACCCCTCCACCACCTCCCCATCTCCTCCTCCTCCCCCTGCACTTCCTCCACCTCTTCCCCCTGCCCCCACCTCCTCCCCTCTACCCCCGTAAAAATAT